CTGAAAGTCCGTCGACAGCCCACGACCGGTTTCGCCATTTTTGGGGCTCATCAGTTAGGCGCAGTCGCCGGGTTTCCGCCAACCTTATGTTCTACTTGAAACCAAATTGCCTGAGAACATCACAAACGAGAGGTTCAGCTGCGTTCCAGGTGAGTCTCTCGAAAAAACCAAATTAGTTTGCAAATGAGTGTATATTCGCTATCTACGTCAAATGTTATTCCGAAAAAATAACTCACTCACAACAGATTTATTGACCACACTATGCAGGTTGCGCTGGCTTGGCCACATGCTCCGTATGCCAGTCGACTGACTTCCTCGAAGCGTTCTTTTCGTACAACCACCAGAAGGGTGGAAACGAGCCAGGGGAGGTTAAACAATGGCTTGGTAGCGAAGCGTGAAAACCATTACCAGCAAACTCAGCTGCCCTGGTCCCCGGACATTATCAAACATGGTCCAGTAGCGATCTTAATGATGCAAGCTATTGGATTCAATGCATAGCTTTCCTCCTAATCCCAACCCCTACTTAAAAGTCCACCTACAGTGCTGTATATACGCACGAATTTTTTAGTCCCGCCTCCAATGCGCAGCTACCTCCCCCACCTCCCCCAATCATCAGTGGACGGAACTGTGGCAGCTACAACTACTGTACGACAAGCAGGCGGTTCTTAAGACTAACGATGTCGATGATTACTTGCTCATCAAGAAGGCTGACGATGTCGATGATTACTTGCTCATCAAGAGTCCATGGTGTCTTCGTGGTGTGCGAATTCTCTCCTAATAGTCCGATAGCGCCAGCTATGTCACGCTGTTTCAATCCGACACGTCTAAGATTTTAAGGAAGCTGGAATTCAGCTAAGTTACCATCGTCAAAGCATCACAATTTCATGTGTACCACGGCTGACCTATTTGCTTAACTATGAGGAAGCGATAAGGTTTATTAAGTGTGTATTTCTCAAAAACAGTGCAATTCGGGTTGAAGTGGAACATAAGGTCGACGGAAACTCGGGGACTGCGCCTACCTGATGAGCCCGAAACAGAAGGGCGAAACCGGTCGTGGAAGAGTTTTCAGCTGCCTTGTGAGCAATTTCCTTTATGAAAAAAGGTCCATTAAGATTACTGGACGATAGCTTGGAACGAAAGCATTCCTGTTGGTACTTGGAATGAACGCACTGGATTAACTGATAAAAGCCTCCCTCAGGTATCACAATATATTCATTCTAAATGGCCTCAACAGGAAAGGAGATATTTCAAACCTTTGCATCAAAAATAAGCTCTGGTTTGTTTATCTCCCAGAGCTACACAAGTGATGACAATGTCACGCTTCACAACAAGTTCGGACCCCTTCACGAGCGTATTTGTCAACTGGTATCCGAGAGGTTTCGTATTTCTCAAGATCTGGCTCGAGAATGCATGCTGAATGGAAACTGCCTTGAGTCAGTGAACCGGTTCCTCAACGCTCGGGAGGGTGACTGTGCGCTGGCCGTCTACAGCGTAATCGGGACATTGAAAACGTGTAAGCGATGTTTATTTAGTTTTATTTCATTTGGTTAGGTTCTACATGGTTAGGTTCTACACATACTGATTCGACAGAAATGAATGGCTTAGTTTTCGTTTAACCTACCGATGAGTTTTTATATACAAAGTAGTCACATTAAAGCCGTGATACATTATAAAACTGAAGGTGATTTGGCAGTGCAGTACAACGATATGGGTATTCCAGGTAGACCATTCATTTGGGATAATTTGGCAATTATCTTTTCCCCACAGTCAAACTGAACGTAGTCCAAAATGCTTATGGTAGACCAGTGAAACTGTGCTGACCAACAATTTGAGGGTAGGATTTAACCACCTAGAAGGATTTCTGTGATAAGCAAAATGATGGTGTGGGGACCATTTAGCAAAGCGCCTAACATATCCTTAAGCACACACTTACTTGTTAGGTAAGAGCCGAAAAGAATAAACTTAGTGTACTGTTCCTGAATTCATATTTCGTCCCATAAGCAGTCACTACGACGCCAGATGCAGTTGACCTTCTGTCTGGTTTTAGGTTATACAGTGATCTTCCAAAGGCTTCGGAAGCGAAACCTTCTGATTTTTGTGGACCACAGTTTTCCTAATGCCTTTTTAATAGCATGAACACGAGTCTGGATAGCCGCTCGATGATAGCCTGATGTGCTTAGCGAGACCAGAAAGTCAATGAACGTGCGAGTCAGCTGATCTATTGAACGATGACGCGTGCAGGCGTTTCATTTGTAGCCGAAAACGGGCTGTTTATAATGTTCACGTGGAAAGTTCTAGGAGGGCTAAAAGATGACGCTAAAAACAGAATTCATCTGTCAAGAGCAAGTGAAGAACAACCAATGAAATCTGTCTCAACGAAAACGGTTACTCTATTGGCAGTTGTGTAGTCCAGTTAGGTTCGGAGCTGGTTCTCCTAATGATCAACTGTTTCTAGCTTTAGACGTTAACCGTGTATACTACTGGTCTCGAATGGCCGGACAGCCGCCCAAAACGGTATTTTCTTTCACCTTCGCTCATGGGTTCTAGCCAGGCTACTTATTGGACCGAGTGATTTAATTTTACATATTTCTAAGTCAGGGAGAAGGTTATCTTCGGCTGCACGGCGTTGTCTTCAAGATTATTTCTGGAAACGAATGAAATATCCAGTGAAATCACATATTGAATCTAATTTGACCTTATAATATTTCCCCTATTCGTTCGCTTACTCCGCCAACGTACTTTTCATCTTTAATCGTTTTGCTTATCTGTACCCGCCACTCACCTTGCCGCAGAGGCGCTCCAGTCAGATATTTGTGTATTAGCATATTATTGCACTGTTTGATGATGTCCATGATAAAATTCAGAAGGTCTAAGCACTAATAAAGGTTTTTAGTATAGTTGACAATGGATGGGGCCATTTTGGATGAGTAGGGTTCCAACTTGTCGTTGTCAAAACCCGTTTGCCTGAAAAGGTATTTTATGTTTGCATCATTTAGCTTATACGGAGTTAGCCTATGGAAAACCGGGGGACGCTTGTGGAGCCGACAGTTCGCTGTTCTTCATGAAGTCCGGGTCAAGCGAACCTTTATCCACAGAAAATTTCAACGAAGTAAGCTAATGGTGTTAGACTATGGATTTTTTAAATCATAGAGTCAAAACATGCTGTGCTCTGACTTGAACAAAGCTCCAGAGTTTTATACCCACATTCCTCCTCAAGTCCGTCTGTTGCTCAAAGCAATGCGCGCTAGCGCTGCTTTGATCCGTGGTGATTGATGATGATGATGATGATGATGACAATGAAGATGATGATGCCGATGCTGCTGCTGATGATCTTGATGATGATGATGATGATGATGACAATGAAGATGATGATGCCGATGCTGCTGCTGATGATCTTGATGATGATGATGATGATGATGACAATGAAGATGATGATGCCGATGCTGCTGCTGATGATCTTGATGATGATGATGATGATGATGACAATGAAGATGATGATGCCGATGCTGCTGCTGATGATCTTGATGATGATGATGATGATGATGACAATGAAGATGATGATGCCGATGCTGCTGCTGATGATCTTGATGATGATGATGATGATGATGACAATGAAGATGATGATGCCGATGCTGCTGCTGATGATCTTGATGATGATGATGATGATGATGACAATGAAGATGATGATGCCGATGCTGCTGCTGATGATCTTGATGATGATGATGATGATGATGACAATGAAGATGATGATGCCGATGCTGCTGCTGATGATCTTGATGATGATGATGATGATGATGACAATGAAGATGATGATGCCGATGCTGCTGCTGATGATCTTGATGATGATGATGATGATGATGACAATGAAGATGATGATGCCGATGCTGCTGCTGATGATCTTGATGATGATGATGATGATAAGATTATTTCTGGAAACGAATGAAATATCCAGTGAAATCACAAACTGAATCTAATTTGACCTCATAATATTTTCCCCATTCGTTCGCTTACTCCGCCAACGTACTTTTCATCTTTAATCGTTTTGCTTATCTGTACCCGCCACTCACCTTGCCGCAGAGGCGCTCCAGTCAGATATTTGTGTATTAGCATATTAGTGCACTGTTTGATGATGTCCATGATAAAATTCAGAAGGTCTAAGCACTAATAAAGGTTTTTAGTATAGTTGACAATGGATGGGGCCATGTTGGATGAGTAGGGTTCCAACTTGTCGTTGTCAAAACCCGTTTGCCTGAAAAGGTATTTTATGTTTGCATCATTTAGCTTATACGGAGTTAGCCTATGGAAAACCGGGGGACGCTTGTGGAGCCGACAGTTCGCTGTTCTTCATGAAGTCCGGGTCAAGCGAACCTTTATCCACAGAAAATTTCAACGAAGTAAGCTAATGGTGTT